CACCAAACCAATGACAGGCCTCGGCCGCTCTGACTGACAGCCGACTTTGTCACTGCCTCTGCTGGTAACTTGTGGCAACAAATTGGTCTTGTTGGGTGATGATGGGTTGACTGGTGTGTTACAGTGTGTGTGTATATGTGTGTGTGTGTGAGAGAGAGAGAGAGAGGAGGGGGCGCAGGCAAACAGAACGAATGAGGAGAGCTTATCCCTCCCACTCAATTACTGACCCTGACTGTGTGGTTGTGTTTGCTCGTGGGCGCTCTTCCCTCCTTCCCATCATCCCGAGGCTCTGACAGTTGGCTATTGTCAGCCTGCCTCTGTCACAGATGTCACTTATCAAACAGAACAAGTCAGTCAAACCTACATCATCACTCCAAAGAAGGACAGAAAAGAGAAAAACGAGGAAAAATTCTAATTTCCATCCCTGTGCGATTGATCATTTGTTTCAGTGACCCTCATATCTGAGCCTTCCTACATTAAACACTCTCTGATTTTGTTTTTATGCCCTATAGCATTATGAAAAACTCCTCCCAGTTTATATTAGATTTTTTAAAAGCCTCTGTCTTGAGTTTCAAAACATTAATATCAAGTGGGGAGCAGAACACTGAGAGCGCTCCTTGGCTCTGTCACAACATTAATAATTCATTAAGACGTTATAGTCGAGTTTATGGCTCCCTTTCTGGTTGTGTGAGAAAATTTCCAAACTGCGAATCATCTGATTAATACAGAAATAGACATTGTGGCATGCTGCTCTGGTTAATTACAGTGAAGCAAACTGTGATGTTATTGATCAGTCGCTGTCGCCCGCTGAGCCGAATCAGACAGACTTAAATGCATTTCACGTTGCGATCAGTTCAGTTACTCGAAGACGGAGTGAACGACGGATGCAAATTTTTTAAACAGTATCCGTCACTGATGTTCGGATACGTTAACTAGCAGCAGCTGCAGTCGTCCACAGTAACTAACCTGTGACTTCTCCTCACAGTGGTTGGATATCAAATCAACAATGCTCATACCTGATCACGATGGAGTGATTTGTTCACTGTGGTTAACAAAACTCCAGCTCTGTACCCCACTGAAAAAAATCCCCAATTAACAAGAAGAATCCTCAGACATGGCAAAATGAATCAAATCT